CAATTCTCTCTATATAACAGTTATGTTATATAACAATTCTCTCTAGATGACAGTTATAATGTTCCCAGTAAACACTAAGCACGTTACATTAGCTCAAGTAATCAAACAACTACTATTATTATTCTCATTTTATAGCTGAGGAAGTTGAGGCAGAAAGGTTAATCAGCTTGCCCAGCCAGGGTCACCCAGTTAGTAAATGGGAGCTTGAATCCCAGCCATCTGGCTCCAGAGCCTACTCTTAGCCACTATGCCATGCAGCCTCTCAAGAAGGGTGTCTTAGAGCAGCCACTTGCTAAGAACAGGACTAAGCACTTACATTTCTGGAGCACGTGAGCTGACTCATGTACACTACACAGATAACTGCCAATATTCTGACTCTTCTTTTATGGGCATCTGCAGTCTACAGAGAGAGATTAATTAACAGTCTGTGTTTGGTTGAGGGCAACTTTGACCAGGCCAAATGAAGAATATATTCAAATATACAATATTCTGTGTGTATACACAGAAAAGTGCTCAAATATGCAAAATGCTGGTGAAGCACAGATGAATGTCAGCATCTGTCCGTGAGCAACTTGTGAAACATACGTTCTGAGGAACACAGCAAACTGGGAATTCCTCATTCCAAACATGACTGCAGAAGGCCAGAAACAGACTGGAGATTCTTTGAGGCTAGTGCTTCTCAAACTTTAACGCGCATACAAATCACTGAGGGATCTTGTTAAAATGCAAATTAATTCTGTAGGTCTGCGGAGAAGCTTCAGAGTCTCTTTCTAACAAGCTCACAAGGCATACTGATGCTGCTATCTGCAGATCACGCTTCTGAGAAGCAGGGTCCTTAGACTGCAATGTTATTTCCCCATGGAGAATGTACGGCTATTCATTCATTTGGACACTGATATGGGTTGAATATTTGTTCCCTCCAAAGCTCATGTGATTGGTCCCCAATTTGGCAGTGTTGAAAGGTGGGGCCTGTAGGTGACTGAACTGTGAGGGCCCTGCCCTTATAAATGGATCAATCTATTAATGGGTTAATGGATTAACTGGTTCTCATGGGTGTGGAGTAGTGGCTTTATGAGGAGAGCACATGAAAGTGCTCTTGCCATCCTCACTATGTGATTGCCTCTGTTGCCATGAACTCTGTAGAGAGTTCCCACCAAGAAGGGCCTCACCAGATATGCCAACTGGACTTTGGACTTCCCAGCCTTCAAACTGTAAGAACTAAATTTCATTTTCCTATAAATTACCCAGTTTTAGGTATTCTGATATGTGACAGAAAATGGACTCATACAGAAAATTGGTACCAAGAAGTGGGGTTGTTGCTCATAACAAATACCTGGAAATGTGGAAGCAGCTTTGGAACTGGGTAATGGGTACAGGCTAAAAGAATTGGAGGAGCAGGCTAGAAAATAGATTCTGGGGAAGGCTTAGAAGACAAGATGACCAGGAAAAGCTTGGAACTTCTTAGAAATTGGTTAAACGGTGGTGACCAGAATACTGACAGTAAAGACCATCCTGAGGAGGTCTCAGATGTAAATGAGGAGCTTATTGGAAGCTGGAGCAAAGGTCACCCTTGTTATGAACAGGCAAAGAACTTGGTTGGATTGTATCCATGCTCAGGGGCATTATGAAATGTGGAACTTAAGAGCAATGAACCAGGGTATTTGCAGAAGAAATTTCTAAGCAGCAAAGCATTCAGGGAGCTGTGTAGCTACTTCTATCAGCCAATGCTGAATTATGGCAGCAAAGGCATGAGGTAGAGGCAGAATTTATAATTTAAAGGGAAGCAGAGGGTAAAAAATTGAAAAACTCTCAGCCAGGCTATGTAAAGAGTAAAAAAATGTGTTCAGGAGAGAAAACCAATGCTGTAGCCCAGTGACTATTTGCTAGGGCCTGAGGTGCCCACCACAAGCTCACTGCCCAAGGCTAACTTGGGATGCTGCTCTCTGTACTCCAGCACAGTGCTCCTCAGCTGCCCCAGCCATAAATAAATTGGTGCTGCTGAACCCTCTGCTTGGGAAGATACAAGCCAGAAGCCTTGGCAGCATCCATATGGTGTTAAGTCTTCAGGCTTGCAGAATGCCAGAACTGTGGAGGCACAAGAATCTCCACCCAGATTTCAAAGGATGTATGAAAAAGCTTGGGGGCCCAGACACAGATTCATTGCAGGGGCAGAGTCATTGGAGAGATGTGCCTTCACTAGAGCAATACTGAGTCGAAATGTGGGGTCAGAGTTGCAGCAGAGAACCCCCATAAGAACCATGCCCAGTGAAGCTGCGGGAATGAGACCGCCGTGAAGACCCCAGAACTGTAGAGCTACCAGTATGCAATGCCAGTGTGGGATGAGCCCAGGAAAGCCACAAGGGTGGGGCTGCCCAAGGACTTGGGGGCTCCACCCCTGCACCAGTGTGCAGAAGATGCTGGACATTGAGTCAAGGGAAACTATTCTCCAGCTTAAATATTTATGCCTGCCCTGCTGTGTTTTCAGACTTGCCGGGGGCCAGTTACTCCTTCCTTTTTTTTAAAAAAAAAAAAAAACTCCTTCCTTCTTTTTTGTTACTCTCTTTTGGAACAAGAATATTTACCCTATGCTTGTCTCACCATTGTATCTTGGAAGTACATAACTTGTTTTGAATTCACAGATGGGACTGGGGGCTTTGGACTTTGGAGTTGCTGTTGGAACAAGTTAAGACTTTGGGGCTATGGGGATGAAATGACTGTATTTGTATGTGAGAAGATCATGAGCTTTGGGGGTCAGGTCTGGAATGATATGGGTTGAATGTCTGTCCCCTCCAAAGCTCATGTGGGAGATTAATCACCAACGTGGCAGTGTGGGGCTTTGGGAGGTGAGTGGACTGTGAGGGCCCTGCCCTCATGAATGGATCAATCCATTAATGAGTTATCATGGGTGTGGAGTGGTGGCTTTAGTAAAAAGCGAAAGATTTATACGATCTGAAGAGAAACCAGAGTGTAGAGTGGTGGCTTTATAAGGAGCACACGAAAGTGCTCTTGCCATCCTCGCCATGTGATTGCATGTGTTGCCATGGGAAGACCCTGTAGAGACTCCCCACCAGGAAGAATGCCCTTACCAGATATGCCATCTGGACCTTGGACTTCCTAGCCTCCAAACTGTAAGAAATAAATTTTATTTTCTTATAAATTACCCAGTTTCAGATATTCTGTTATAAGTGACAGAAAATGAACTATGATACAGACACTGATTGTCAAATGCCACCAACCACTAGCTAAGTGCTGAGGATATCTAAAACAAGGTCTCTGCTCTTAAAGAGTTCAGTCCAGTTAAGGCCCTAGAGAGTTTCTCTGAATTCCACAAATCAAGGGCAATGTCCAATACAAAACAAACCCCATTAGAGACAAAATCCTTACAGAACCACTTGTAGAGTGAGAACACTTACACAGGTTATGCTGGAAGCAACAATAATGCTCATGAAGACATCTGTTCATGGACTCAACAGATGACTCAAACTATGATAAAACCAGATATTCCTGAGAAGCAAAGTGGCTGATGGACAAAATAGTATCAGTACAATTTCAAAGCCAACAAAACCCATGGACATGGAACCACATCTATTCATCATCTCTGGGTCCCTCTACTCAGTATGGTTATACTCATTAACACTTTCCAGCGTTAGTGAGAGCCAGGTTATAAACAAAAAGCTGTATGAAAAAAGAATAATCAACAAAGTACTGCCTGACGGTTGTGGACATCATGAATACCCAAACCCTTTAGTTGAGGAGGAAACTAAAATCCAAAGCAGTTAAGGCAGTGGTTCTCAGCCAGGGCAATTTTGCACCTTCAGGGGACATTTGGCAATGACTGGAGACATTTTTGGTTGTTACAACTCATGGAATGCTACTGGCATCTAGTGAGTAGAGGCCGGAGATACTGCTAAAAATCCATCAAGGCAAGGGACAGCCTATTACAACCAAGAATTATCTGTCCCAAAATGTCAATAGTTAAGAAATCCTGAATTTGGGAATCTGCCCAAGGTCAAAGAATGAGTGTCACACCATAGATTAGAGCTGTCCAACAGAACATTCTGTAAAGATGAAAATGTTCTATAATGTGTATTGCCTAATAGCCATATGTGGCTACTGAACACGAGATATGGATAGTGCAACTGAGGAACTAAATTTTAAAATTTTATTTAGTCTTTAATAATTTACATAGCCAAGCATGACCAATGGCTACCCTACTAGACAGGGCAGAACTACAGTCCACCTCTCCTGACTCCCAGACTGGTGTTCTTCCGGTGTCACAGCCTGCTTCTTTCCACTCTTCTGAAATCACCCACCCTCCTAACTTTATCACTAAGATTTGCCTGGGAAAAAAATACAAAAGTAAAATAAAAAATCTTAATAAAACATGCCCAGTTTTGTATATTGGGAAATGAAGCATAATATCGGATCATGGTTACACATACAAGTAATAAGAACGCAGAAGCAAGAAAGGTCAAATTATTCCTACTTCCAGTTGCAGGAAAGGGAGATAAGACACAGATAAAACAAACAACCTTCTGAGCCTTAAGATCATGGGTTCTGTACCTGATTTCTCCACTTGGTCATCTAACAGTCCCTTTCACTTCTCGCTGTGTATGAAACCAGGCAAGCCAACATCACTAGCAAATTCTTTCGCTCCTGACTTCTCTCTCATCACAGAGGCCATTCTCTGATTTGCTGGTTTTGATGTGAGACCACACTAAGGACTCACCATGTGCCAGGCATTGTACCAAGCACTACACATACATTATGTCACTTCATTCTTACTGCAGCCCTTTGGGGCACCGAGAGGATAAAGATCTTGGCCCAAAGCACACGGTCAGTCAGGGGTAAAGCTGGGACTCCCAGACAGGACTCCAAATTTCGTGCTCTTAAGTACTGCATTAAGGGCCTGAAACCTTGGAAAGCAACACTGGCTGGGAAGGCGTGAGGAGTTCCCCCAGGGAGCAGAGCAGCCAGGGCAGGGTCCCACCGGTTCTTACTTCTCGATCTCCAGCGCTGCCACCTTCCGCTTTTCGTACAGCTTGTCATTGAGGGCGCGCACGATGTTGGGCGTGAGCGGCGCGAAATCCTTCTCCGGATTCATGGTGGCAGCTCGGGGAGCGCCCCGGAACCTCGAGCCTCCTACAGCTTGTCATTGAGGGCGCGCATGATGTTGGGCGTGAGCGGCGCAAAATCCTTCTCCAGATTCATGGTGGAAGCTCGGGGAGCGCCCCAGAACTTCGCGCCTCCTCAGCCCGCCGCTGCCGGGGCAGCGCCGGGGCCAGGGGAGTCTGCGGCTCCGCGCTGCCCCCGGCGCCGGCTCATGGACCACGCCGACCCGCCCGCCGCTGCGCACCGCCTTGGAACCCGGGCCCAGACCCCGATCCCGCACACCTGCGCGCGGTCACCTAACCGCTCACGCGATCTGCTCCCGCCCGGCACCGGCTGCGCTCACGGGACAGCGGCCATGTTACTCAGGTCACATGACTCCGCAGCAGCTTCCGCTTTCCGCGGCGAGGATCCGCCCCTCGCCGGGCACGCCCCCGCACGCCGGGCCGTGGATTGGCCCCGCCCCGCAAGGCTCCACCCTCGCCCCTCACACTACAGCTCCGCTACCCGTGGCCTAATCGTGGCTTGAGACGTTCTTTAGGGGCGTGTGGGGTAGGCTTGGCACGTCGTGGGCTTCTGTTGATGTTTGTGAGGCCGAAGGGGTCCTTGGAGCCTGATTCACTTAGCGTAATTTATTCAATACTTACCGAATTCACTAATTCACCTAATACTTATCACTTACCGATTTCGCATATGCCAATGTTTCCCAAATTGAAGTAACACTATCATCATTTCCGCCCTATCCTAGGCACTTGTACTATTATTTAATATTTTTCTCAAATCACTTCACTTTTAAAAAAATCTTAACTTCGGGCTAGCAGGGTCAAGGGTTTGGATCCCAGTACTGGCCAGCTACCAAAAACAGAGCAAAACGAAAGACTTAAATTCGTACTTCAGCCTTGCTTATGCCCTAAAATCATGGGTTTGAATAGGTAGTTATATTTTTTCTAAGACACTTTAAAAATAAATTCTCAATTAAAAACTACTACCTGTCTACCTCCTAAACTCTTAGGTACCAACAGTGGCTGTCACCCCTGTGACAGTGGGAGGTGGGGTTTATCTACCATGCTCTTATACCTAGTGTTGGAGTGAGCGGGACTGAAGCCATGTTGGACCGAAAACCTCATGGGTCCTAAAAGATTTTAAAAGGACAGTTTTTTTCTTGGCATGCATTTCTCTGAGTTCCCTCTTTCCCTGTGGTTATTTGATATTTTGAACTGTGGTTATGGGGCAAGATGACATTATTTACATAAATGTAAAGTTGTTTTCCAGCCAGCCTGAAGTGGCAGACTTACAGACTTGCATGTACTATCCAGACCCTAGGAAGCCAAAGAAGACATTGTCTTTAACCCATGGAAACTGTGAGATAATAAGTTTGTGTTGCTTTAAGCTGCTAGGTTTGTGGTAATTTTTTATTTAGCCATTGAAAACTAATAGAGGGACTAATGCAAAACTCAGTAAGTCATGGAGAAGTTGTATCTAGAAAAATCCATGAAAAATGTATTTTCATAGCTGTTAAAATCTTTTTCAACACAATCTGATGAGAAGGTAGGTGCACCAATATGAAAATATATGAAAATATAGATTCATCTCCAGAGAAAATGTATTGCTTAATAGTTTCCTCCTCTTACCTTGATACCAAGTAGTACTGCCAAGAACATTTGCAAATGTCTTGCAAAGTTTCAGTCTTTAGGATTTTGATGATGGTTGATGCAAACCCATGAAAAAAATTAAATCAATGGGAATGATTCAAGTCTATTTCTCCAACGTGTATTCATTTCCACTGGGCCCACATCTAATATAATATTTCATCTGTTTCTTCTGCACTTTGGTTTTGCTTTTCTCAAAGGTGAACTGAATTTCCCAAGGGCCATAATGTGATATGGTTTTAAATAATTGAAACAGTAAGTTTTTTTTTTAACAGAAGGAACTCTTTTCTCCCCAAATTACATTACATTCTGGATCAGGTTGCTAAGAAACCACTTTCTTATTCAAGGTTCAAACCAATGCTTTGTACTACCTTTAGCTCAGAAGTTCCTAGAAGGAAGTGATTTTTCTGATATCTTGGAAAATGTCAGCTAAAGTTATTTATGCATAACTGGACTGACAGTGGAGCTGAGGAAAAAGCCTAAGGGCCACCCTTGCCTTCTCTATACATTCCCCTTCTCTGACCCCACTGCCAGCCCTGGCCAGGCCTGCTACACTCTGACTCTTCTGGACTACTGGAAAACTCATATGTCTGGCCCACACTGGCCATTGTTTCATCTGCGTCTCTGTGGTGCCTGGTTTTCATTACCGAACTTGTAGTAGTAGTTCTGTAACAGCTATTAATAGTAGCTATTACAACTTATATAAAAGTTATTACATAACTTGTAGCAAGAGGATGCTGGTGACATTGTAGTAAATTGTACCTGCATCTTCAATGGTGCAAAGCCGTTTCTCCAACAGCAATGTAATTTTAACTGAAGTTTCAGGGCAACATGGTTAAAGGTATAAGAGGCTTGGAGAGTCCCCACTTGGGATTTTTATTATTAGACAGGCCCTCGCTGACATTATAATATTGTCACCTCTGACTTGAGGCATGTCCCCCCTAAAGAAATGGTTAGACTTAGTTAGCAAGCCACACTCACCGGGGGCTCTATGCCGAACAATGTCAGGGAGCCCCATTCACATGGTATTCTGTGCACAGTGCTCCCTGGAGCTCTGCCACATGCACAGCCACCCTGATATTCTCTGAACATCCCCTAGTTAGAGGTCTCCTGGTTTGCTTTGCTGAGAAGGTATGCTTTCAAATGTCATTTCCACAAGTTTGTGTGAGGATGCTCATTTTAACCTCGCCTCTACCCAGCCCTCTGGTTGAGCTACTTTGCTATTCCAAATTTGCCAACAGAGAACTATTTTGTTATTGTTTTTTTTCGAGGCTAAGGAAGCATGAAAACAATCTAGGGGGAAGATATGTACCCAATCGCAAGTCAGCCTGGAAGAGGGTTCATGCTGGGGCAGGATCGGAGCTGGTTTCTTGGTCCCAGGGAGAAGGCACTTCCTCCTCTCTGTGGGCATAGGAAGATTTGGATTCTAGACTGAGTGAACTTGGGAGGGCTGGGGCAGGTCTGAGGTGCAGCAAGTTGCCCCAGCCACCCGAAGGCCGGCTGCCTTAACAGCATTTTGCTGGCGATGAGTCGGGTGAGTGGCTAGTTTCTGCAGCAGCCAGTGTGTGGTTGGGAGCCCTCTAGGCTTAAGGGAGCGTATAAGAAATCTCGGAGTCTCACTGTGTTCTGACCGCTGGTGTGTCAGCCAAGCTTTCACACCGCTTTCTCCATCTTTTCTTCAGCCTTAGCAACCAGTTAGCATACTAGGTTTCCAACTGTTGAAAAGAAGAATATATTGCTGCACCCCCTCACCCCAGCTATGCCTCTGGTGGTTGGGTGGTAGGAGGGGTATTTTGGGGAGGCTGATTTCATCAACTGGGCCATAAGCAGAGTTAGTAAGAGTCCTTTCTAGGGCTCTAATGAAGACTGTTAGGGCTGTGGATTCCACCAAGATAAAGTTCTGCTAGTGACCTTAAAGCACTGCTGTCAATGGCATTGGCAATGGCAATGCGTGAGCCAGTCACCTGGAGGTTCCATTAAAATGCAGATTCTGACTCATTAGGTCTGGGGCAGGGCATGAGGTCCTGCCTACCTAACAAGCTCCTGGGAGATGTGGATGCTGCAGGTCCACAGGCCACTCTGAATAGCAGGGAGGCTCCAGGCCTTAGAGCTGTGGTCATCACAGTCTGGTTCTCTGAATAGCAGCAATAGCATCACCCGGGACTTGTCAGAAATGCAAGTTCTTTTTTTTTTTTTTTTTTAAAGATGACTGCTAAGGGGATCTTAACCCTTGACTTGGTGTTGTCAGCACCATGCTCTCCCAAGTGAGCCACAGGCTGGCTCTAGAAATGCAAGTTCTTGATCCCCAACTGGACCTCCTAGATCAGACTCTCTGAGGGTGGGGCCCAGCAATCTGTGTTTCAGCAAGCCCTCCAAGGGATTCTTATGTACTAAAATTTGAGAACTGCTGACTTTATGCAGACTCTGTGTATTTGCTAGTTATGACACTTGCTTGCTGATCTTAGCATCCTCTCAGATTGCTGGTTAGTGCCCTGTCTTTGCTCACTTAACCATCGGGAAAATCTGTTGTCTAGTTCTTTGTCTTTATACCTATTAGCAGTGTCTTCAGTGGTTACAAAAATGAATTCTCTATTGGGTATAGGTCTGAGTTTACAAACACTCCAGAAAAAGTGTAATTTGATGCTAGCTGTGCATAGAGTGTCCTGGGCTGAGGGCTGGGGGATGAGGTACGAAAGAAGTAGAAGAGTCTCCATCCATAAAAAAGCACCTCTAATAAGTATAAGGGCTTGTTAGAAGACAGATTGCTGGGCCGCACCCCCAGAGTTTCTGACTCAGTAGGTCTGGGTTGGGGATGGAGAATTTGGATTTTTAATAAATTCCCACATGAGGCTGCTGCTGCTTGTCCAGGGACTATTTTTGACTTGCTTCTTGAGAGCATCATTCCCAAGTGGCCATCATCTTTCATGCCTCCTCCTTTCCTTGCAGGTGGGCTGTAGGAGATGAGAAGCCAGGGAGGAGGTGGAGGCAGGTAACCCTCAGTCACAGCTGTGTGTCCACAGAAGCAAATCCACTCCACGGCCAGTCTTTAACTATCTTTATTTCAAAAGATGGCACTGACAGGTAAGTGGTCCTATTCGTACACACTGCAAAGGCCCAGGGGAAGAGGTGGCTGTGGACCCAAGTTTCTGGGCTGAGGCAGGTGCCCCATTGCTCCTTGGAGGTGGAGCTTCCAGGGTGGTGCTCAAGAAAGGCACCGACTTAGATTGTCACCCTTTATGTGTGCACAAAATAGTTGTGGTTTCAATATATCACACTGGGACATGGTCCTTCCTCTGGAAGGGATTCCTGCTTCAGTCGCAGCACAAATGGCCAGGTGGGTGTTTGATCTGTAGCAATGGTTCTCAACGCTGCTGTACAAGTTACTAAAAAAGAGAGATGCTTATGCCACTCTCAAGACCAATGAAATCAGAATTTTGGGAGGGAGTGTGTTCTGGGTGAGCATTAGGTGATTCTGATGGGTCAAGAATCACTGCCCTGCAGCTGGTTGCTGTGCCCAAGGCTGGGGGAGGGCACGGGGAGCTGGGGTTTCTGTATCATCCTTTCTCCAGGACCTGGCCTTCAGCAAGAACTTTCTGTGGGGAACAGGTACAGGATTTGGAAAGTGACGGTATAAAAGCCAAGGGAAAAAGTGAATAGGAGCATCCCCAGGTTGCCCTAATGTCGTCTGTTCATTGCTTTGAAAATAGTTATTTATTTGGCTTTTATGTGAAGGCAGAATAAAAATCACATAAAAATAGATTCACATCTAAGGTCTCTTTAAACCCTCATGGATTTTAAAAAGAAACTGCAGTGCCCCAGCACCACAGACTGCTAAGTGCTGTGTGGTCATGGGTGTAATACCTGTGTTGTCTTGTTAAAAATGGGGGTTATTACAGAGTACTTGAGCTTTGGGGATATGTCAAGAAACTAAATTCAGGGACTCCTGAGATTCAGTTATCTAAAATATAGATCTGTTGTGCATAGCTATAATTTTTAATATGGAATATATATTTCAGATCTATGTTTGGAAGGTTGAGGAGATGGCTTTTGGTTGATGCAGTAACCCTGGTTACTAAGGGGTGATCCCCTTCAGGTAATAAACCCATTTAATTCCAGTTTCTTGGCCTTCACTGGGACAGCAGCTCACAATCAGCTTGGTGGTGATGGGGGTTTTGCTGCCCGATGGGTTTCCTTCAAAGTAGACTGTGATGTTGTTGATCTTCTTGGGCCGCATGGAATCCATGGCGCGAACGGTGAAGGCTGGGCTCTCCACGGTGCAGGAGAAGGTCACCGTGTGGTAGAAGACATTTTTGAAGGGGATGATTATGTTGTACCCAGCTCGGATCAGGAACGGACCTTGGGGCTTGGGGGGCAGACCCACTCCGAAGAGGGGGATGATATACTCGCCTCCTGCAATTGACGACAGGATCAGGACGCCCTTGGTCTCGCCCAGATGGCTGGGCTCGAAGAAGACTTCCACATTGACTTCAGTGCCCCCCTGGGCTCCTGGGGCTGCATTAATGACTTTTTCTGTGTGGAAGTCGGGACAGTCAGTCTGAAAGGGGAATAAATGAACTCAGCTCACACAAGATCCTGAGCACACCAAGAGCCGAAGTCCACCCCCATCCCTCCACTCCCCGACATCAAGAAACTTATGTTTGTGTGAGGCTGGGCAGGTTATGAAGTTGTGTCCTTATAACTCCTTTGCAGGGTATGTGTTACTAATCATTATCTCTATTTTGCTTCAAAGAAATCAAGGCAAGGAGCTGTTAATAATGTGCCCAGAGACACACAGCTAGGTTGTGTTGGTAGGGCTCCCCATATCTGGTTCATCTTTCCTTTCATGCACATGGATGACCAAACATTCTGACTCCTTGTGGATTGGTGGGGCTACCTCTGCATAAGTAGTTGTGAGCAGAAGTGAAAGGTGTCACTTCCACACTAGAGTATCTTGTTGCCAGTCCGAGTCCCGTCAGGGTCTCTTCACCCCTCTTGTACTGTAACTGAAACATTTGAGATGGTGGTTGCTCTTCAGCCTGGATTCCAAGTTACCATGATGAGCAGAGTCCCCAGCTGACCCTCACTGGATATTCCCCCTTGCAGGTCCTGGGATGTGGACACCATGGTCAGCCATCCTGGCCCACGTGGATGTAAACAACTCTCTAAGGGCTGAGTGTTGGAACAGGAGGGGTGTGGGTGCCTGAGGTCAGGAAACTGCCAGATCCAGCTCATATTGCTCATGCCTGTGTTTGTGAGAGGAATTAACTTTTCGTTTGCTGTTATTTTGGGTTTCTGTTTTAGTAGCTAAACCTGTATTCCAACTGACATAATATCTAATGTATATGGAATGCTTACTAGGCTCCAAGAAAATAGCTTTATATACATACATATTTTAAAATCTGTACAGCAATCCTGTGAGGTCGAGGGTATTATTTCCATGTATAGAAAAGCTTAGCAAGCTTAAGTGAATTTTTCATGTAAAGAGTTAGTGGTGAAGCCAGGATTCAAATCCGTGTCTGTGATTCCACAGCCTGTGCTCATGACCACTAAGCTATCCTGCCTCCCTTTATTGACCACTGAGCATGCTGTGGGAAGCAAAACTCCTGGTCACCCCTCCCTGCCACCAGCTTGTTAAGATAGAAAGTCTGTAAAAGAAGAACCCAGGTCTGGTACTATTTGTTTCTTGCTGGAAGTTTCCAGACTAGATTAAGGCCTCTGAGATGGGTATCACTATGACTATGAGGCACCTGACTCGCTGAGTTTCACATTTCTGTACCCTCAGCATCTTCCTCCCACTATGTTTGAACCCAGACTTCTGGCAAGGGAAGGGCACAGGGTGAAGCCGGGGCTGCTTACCCTGCAGTAATATTCTGTCTTCAGCCGTGTATAATTGGTGAACTTCACAAAGATGCTTTGGCTGCTGCCAAGAACAGTCTGGACACGAACGGGCTTTTCGGGAAGTGCTGGCATGGCCTTCAAATTGAGCTCATACTGGTAGTAACCCAAATCACTGTTGTGCAAAGTTAGTCTCCCAAAGGTTTCTCCAGCTTTCAGGGGCTGGAATTCAAATGAGAATGTGCCCTGAAAGAGAAGACAGAGGCTCTGTCACGCTGAAAGCTTGACCCATCCCCTGCCACAGAGTGACCTGACCAAGACTTCATAGTAGGTTGGTGGCAGAAATGGTGCTTTACAAGCAAACGCTCAGAATGACCTCGAGCCCAGGGAACCTTTGTCTAAACCAGCTTGCTCTCCCTCCCCTGTACTCCTTCTGCCTTTCTCTGGTCTAGGTATTTCTATATCTGGTATCTTTTTGAATCTAAAAATACATCCTGGATCTTCTCTTGAGAAGCACACTTATGGAGAGGGGGTGGGTGTTGTTAGCAGGAGGGCTAAAGGCCAAGCAGCCCCATCTTTGCTCATAGCCAATCTCAGAGCAAATTCTTGGGTTTGGCCATCACTTGGGTACACTTTTTCCTTCCTCTATTATTGCCTGTAACAAAACAAAACAAGAACCAAGCATCATTGCTTATAACAGCAGATCAAGAGAAACAATTCAAATGTGTTAGTGGCAGGAAATTGGCTAAACAAATCATAGTTTTCTCACTTCAGTGGAATATTATGTAGCCATTAAAAAAAATGAGGTAGAGCTATAAGCATTGAAATGAAAGGTGTTGATGATATTGTAAGTAGAAGAAAGGAGGCTCCAGAAATGTATGCAAAGTATGAACCCACTTTTTTTTTTTTGTGGAGAAGAATGTCTATGTATGTATAGAAAAGACACTGCAAAGATACCAAATTGTTACCAGTATTTATGTTAGGGTGGGGGAAATGGGATTGTAGGGACTTTTAGTTTCTATTTCATGTACTTTTGTATAGTTAAAATTTTTTTTCACTATGAGTTTTTTTCTTTAAAAACTTCTTACTTTAAAATGTTCTTACTGAAAAAAATCAGAATAAAAAGAGGATATCACTGAAGTTGTAGATATTTAACAGAAAAGATATAGTATAAACATTTAGATAGTTTTACCACAATTTAAAAAGATTATATAAGCTGGACAAATGTATAAACAAATATAACTTATAAAAACAAACCCAAGAAGATATAAAAAATCCTACTTAATGGTCCTATAAACAAAGAAATTTCATCAAAAGTCAAAAATTTCCCTTAAAGAAATTCCTGGTTCATAAAGCTTTACTTGTATGTTATATCAGACAATCAAGGGTGAAAGAATTGCAGTATTCCACAAATTCTTCCAGAGGAAACGCAAAGAGGGAGCCCACTCCAACCAGCATGACCTTGACACTAAAATCCAACAAGAATAATAAGAGAAAGAAAAACTGGATGCCAGTGTTTCTCCTAAACATAGACACAAAACGTCTAAAGAAAATATTATCCACCTAGTAATATATAAAGAAGAGAATACTACATCGCTAAGTTGGGTTTATTCCATGAATGCAAAGTTGATTTAACATTAGTAAAACTAACCAACAGCCATATTAACAGATTATAAGAACAATCATAAGTATCTCAATAAATGTGGTAAAAGCATTTGATAAAACTCAACATCCATTCATGGTATTTCTGAAAAAGCTCTTAGAAAGCTAGGAATAGAAAGGGACATCCTTAATCTGATAAAGTGTATCTATAAAAAATCTAAAACAAATAACACAAATAATAAATGGTGAAACTTTGAATGCTTTCCTTTCACGATTAGGAACAAGAGAAAGATACTCTCTATTGCCATTCTATTTGACATTGTTCTGGAGGTCATAGACAGTGCTATAAGGCATGAAAAGGAAATTAAAGAAAATGTTTAGAAAGAGGGCTGGCCAGGTAGCTCAGTTGATTGCAATATGGTGTTGATAAAACCAAGGTCCAGGGGTCTATCCCTGTTACTGGCAAGCTGCCAAAAATTAAAAAAAAAAAAAAAAAAAAAGGTAGAAAGAAAAAAATAAAATTGTAAAATTCAAGAGTTTATAGTTAAAATTATTGATAAGTGAACTTTATAAGATACTTGGATATAAAAATCAATATATGAAAATCAAGTATATTTCTATATGCTTGTAACAAATAGAAAATAAAAATTTTAAAATATGCCATTTATAATAGCATCAAAATATATAAAACCTAGAAATAAATGTAACAAAAGGTGAGTGAAGTCTCTATATAGAAAACAAGAAAACAGTACTTTCAGAGAAATTAAAGATGACTTAAATAAGTGGAGATTTACTCATGGAATGGAAATCTCAATATTGTAAAGATTTGAATTCTCCCTGTGATACACAGGCTCTCCCAATAATTCCCACCTCCTGGTATTCACACCCCTGTGTAGTCTTCTCCCACACCATACCAGAGTTGGTATCATTGACTACTAGAATATGGCAGAAAAGATGGCGTGTCACTTCTGAGTAGTAAAAGACTCTACCTTCTGTCTTGTGTGCTCTCTCCTCCCTTGCAGTCTTTCTCTTAGACTTCTCATTACAGGGGAGGTGAAAGCAGCTCTAGGGAGAGGCCCACATGGTGAGGAACTGAAGCCTCCAGCCAACAGCCATCAAGGAGCTAAGGCCTTCCCAGCAACCGCATAAGTGAATCTGGAATTATCTGGATTATCTAGCCCCAGGCATGCTCCAGATGACTAGAGTCCTGGCTGACAGCCTGACTCCAATCTCATGAGAGACCTTGAGCAAAAACCAACCAGCCAAGGTACTGCTCTTGGGTTCCTGATCCTCAGAAACTATGCAGATAGTAAAGGTTTGTTGTTTAAAGTTGCTAAGTTTTGGGTAATTTGTTACAGATCAACAGATAACTTTAAAAAGTAAATTTAAAAAGTAATCTATAGATTCAGTGTGATCCCAATCAAAATCCCAACAGGTTCTTTTCCTTCCTTCCTCTCTTCCTTCCTTTCTTCTTTCCTTCCCTTTTGAGGAACTTGACAAGCCAATTTCAAAATTTATATGGAAATGCAAAGGGTCAAGAATATCCAAGATACTCTTGCAAAACAAGGAGAATATAAGATGTTACCAAGTCTTAACACAAAACTAGAGTGACTGCTTGCTTTACGAGACATTAAACCTCACTACAAGTCTATAGAAATTTGGATGCTGTGGTGTTGGTACAAGTTCAGAAATTAGATCATTATTATAACATACAAGGGTACTTCAAAAAGTTCATGGGAAGAATTGTATTATCCTTTTTTCTATTTTTCAATGAAGTTTTTGAAGTTCCCTCATAGAAAAGCTAGAACAGATCCATGCATATACGAACTTGATTTATTCCATAAACGAACCTGCAGAGCGGTGGGAAAAAGATGGTCTTTTTAGTAGAAACAGTCTGAGATATTTGATTTATATTTACTTGGAAAAAAAGGAAACGATTCCAACTCAGCATACATAAAAGTCACTTCCAGATTTTGGGCAAGATGATAGTAGCAGCAGCAGTATAGTTTGCAATCTCCCCAAATCCCGCCCCCGCCAAAACACAGACCAACTACACTAACAATAACAACAGCAAGAACCCATGGCCAACATCTATAACAAAACTAAGTGAAAAGGTAACCCCTCAAAACATGAGTGGGTAACTCCAAACTACATCTCAGCCATAAGATGGGTGTTGTATCAGCCGCTATATGGGAGAAGTGGAAAGAAGCAAAAGGAACATCAGCCTAGGAGCCAGAGAACCCTGAAATCACTCCTGAATTGAGGGGCCCAACTTAACTGAAAAACTTGATAGGACAATCTGACAACAGCAGCCTAAGCTGGAAGGGTAACTTCAGGCTCCCGCTTAGTGTTAATTGCAAACCATTGGAATAAGATCGGACGATGTGGCCCAGTATAGACCATTTGAATGCCACAAATTAAGTGTCCGAAACTCCCTTCTAAGACAAACCCTGCACCGAGAGAGTCTATAAAAGTAGAATCCATTCGACCACAGCAGAGACACTCATGGCAAAGTTAAGATAAAGCTCAGATAAAGGTGGGGATAAAAGCAGAGAAAACAAGTCTTAAAAGTACAGACTGTGGGGCCAGCCCAGTGGCGCACATACACACCGGTTCCCACATACACACCGGTTCCCGCTCACTGGCTGAGCGAGGGGCGGGCGCAGCACCGAGGGTTGCGATCCGTACAAGAACTCATTGGTCACCTCATTTCGGAAGATCACCTGCATTCACAGGGAGAGTGGGAGGAAGCAGGACAAAGTAGGGGTTAGCCGAGCATCCTCTGCACATGCTCAGGAGCTTCTTCTCTTCATTAGCCTTGCTTGGGTACACAAAGCACAGATAGCAGGCTGACACGGCCCTCCCAGCCTATCTGGATGCCTGCCAGCCACCCTTTCTCTTTAGGTATTACAGTCTGGCTCCTCCCTGTGAGACATTACCAAATAGCCTGGGCTTGCTTTAGAAGCAGCTAGAGCAGCACCGTCCAGTGCCAACACGTCCCCAGTGGGATAGCTGGCTGGCCCTGGCGAACAAGCAAGACCTCGTTCAAGTTGTAGTGGGCTTTAATATCATTCCTGTTGCTGCTGGAATAGTGAAAAACCATGATAGCATCTCACGCTTAATGAATGACTGTGTGCCGGGCACTAGAAGCACTTATTTAATTCACACAATTTGTCGGCACCATTATTATGCCTTCTCACCTTTTCTTTTTTTAAAGATGAGCAAAGTAAGGCTTATCCAAGTTAAGTATCTTGCCCAATGCTATAGGTCAAATGTGTCCCCCAAAGGTTTATGTATCGGACTTAACCCCCACTGTAACAGTGTTGAGGGTGGGAAATCTTGTTATGGGACTTGAAAAGTGGAATCTTTAAGAGATGATTTAATTGTGAGGACTGTACATTCGTGAATGGATTAATCCACTGATGGTTTAATGCGTGGTAATGGGTGTGGTTCTGATGGCTCTAAAAAGAGAGCAAGTGAAGAGGATAGCTCTTTCCTGTTATGGGACTTGAAAAGTGGAATCTTTAAGAGATGATTTAATTGTGAGGACTGTACATTCGTGAATGGATTAATCCACTGATGGTTTAATGGGTGGTAATGGGTGTGGTTCTGATGGCTCTAAAAAGAGAGCAAGTGAAGAGGATAGCTCTTTCCTGCTCAGAGCATTTGCCACGTGATACCCTGTGTCACTGTGGAGAGTCACCACCAACAAGAAGGTCCTCACCAGATCTGTTCCTTGGACTTTGGACTTTTCTGCCTCCGAAAGTATAAAGAAATAAAATGTATTTCTTCATAAATTACCCAGTTTCAGGTATTCTGTTATAAGCAACAGAAATGGACTAATACACCCAAGGTCACATGCAAAGAGGTATCAAAACCAGGAGTGATCCCAGGTTGGACTGACTCCAGAGCTCACACTTGAATCTACACTATAATGTTCCCATACCTCTGCAACCAACTTATTGATATGCTACTCACCTTTTAAAGTTCCTTTCCCTGGTGACTTATGATGTTAAGGATCTCATGTGCTTATTGGTCATTCGCATAGCTACTTTTGTGAAGTAGATTCTATTCTTTTGCCCTTTTTAATACACTGGGTTGTTTATCGTATTAGGTGGTAATAGTTCTTTATATAGCCTGGCTTTTTACTTTCAACCTCTTTGTGTCTTTAAAGTGCCTCTGACATTCCTGTCTTTGAACTGGAATGTTTAGTCTTTTACATTTAAAGGAATTATAGTTTGGGTCGAAGCCTGTCTTCTTGCTATTTTCCACTTGTCTGTTTTATTTTTTATTCTTCTGTTGCTACTTTCCTGCCTTCTTTTGGATTAATCTTTTGGAATATATTTTATTTCCCCCACTGGCTTCTTACCTATATTTTAAAATAATTTTTTAGTGGCTGCTCTAGAGCTAACCGTGTGAATCTTTAACTTATCAGTATGTATTGAGTCACATTTTGTCACTTCCCACTTTACTCTGAACCCTTCATGCTTCCTACCCCACACTTCTCACCTCACAAATGTAATAATAACCTTACTCAAGTATAATCCCATTTACCATTGCACCCTGTCTTTTGTGCTTTTGTTGTCATATATTTTACTTCTACATACATAAGCATGCCTACCTTAAAATGCCATTATATTTGTTATAAACTGTCAGTTGTCTTTTAAGAAAATTCCAAGAAGAAAACACACACATTTAAAAAAAATTTATCTGCTTATTTACCTTTTCTAGTGCCCTTCTTTCCTTCCTGTAGACCCAAGTTTCCATGTGGTATAACTTTCCTTCAGACTGAAGAATATCTATTAGCATATGTTGTACAATAATGCAAGTCTGTTGACAATGAATTCTCTCATGTTCTTTTATCTGAAAATATCCTTTTGAAGGATAAAGGTTTCAGTGGATAAAGAATTCTAGGTTGATAGTTTCCTTTTCTTTCAGCACTTTACAGATGGCTCCCATTATATCTAATGAGAAGCCCGTGGTCAATCTTAGCGTTGTCCCCCTGTGTGTAATGTGTCTTTTTCCCCCTGGCTTCTTTAAACTTTTCTCTTTCTTTTTGATTTTCAGCAGTTTAAAAATGATACTGTGATGTTCACAGGCATAGTTTTCTTTGTATTTCTCCTTCTTGAAGTTGGCCAAGTTTCTTGGATCTGTAAATAGTTTTTTCTTAAAAAAACACCAAATCAGGAAAATTTCACTATTTTTTCAAATAATTTTCTGCCTCATTCTCATTCTCTTCTCTTCTGGGACTCCTATTACACATGTATTGGAAATTATATGTTTTCTCACAGGTTCCTGAAACTATAGTCAGGTTTCTTCAATCTTTTTTCTTTCTGTTCTTCAGATTAGAAACTTTCTATTAATTTGCCTTTGGGTCCACTGAATCTTCTGATATCTTCACCCTGCTGTTAAGCACATCTAATGAATTCATCATTTCAGTTTATTGTGCTACTCAATTCTAGAATTTTCATTTGGTTCTTTTTTATAGTGTCTATTTCTCTGCTGAAAGTCCTTGTCTATGCTCTTATTAAGACAATATTTAAAAAAATTATTTGAAATATATTTTTTTACTTCTTTGAACATGTTTATAATAGTTGCTTTCAAGTCTTTGCTAAATCCAACTGGCTTCTTTCACTTAGCATAATGTTTTCAAGGTTCATTTATGCATACCATGTATCAATATTTCATTTCCATTTCTTTTTATTGCCAAATAATATTCTATTGTATTTATCCATTTAGAGTTGATGGAAATGTGGGTTGTTTCTGCTTTCTGGCTCTTATGAATAATGCTGCTATGAATATTTGTGTATAGGTTTTTGTGTGGACATATGTTTTCATTTCTCTAGGGTATATACCTAAGAGTGAAATTGCTGAATCATATGGTAACTCTATGTTTAACCATTTGAGGAACTGCCAGACTGTTTTCCAAAACATTTGCACCATTTTACACTCCCTCCAGCAGCGTATGAGGGTTCCAGTTTCTCCACATTCTTGTCAACACTTGTTACTATTTCTTTTCATTCTTGCCATTTCTTTGTCCTCATATCCTAAGGTCTAGTGATATTACACAGTTCCATCTTCTAACTTACTAGTAATCTCTTCCTAAAGGTCCTTTACAGTATTCAGCTTTCCTCTGTGGTTTTTTATTCCAAACATTCTATTTTTCATTTCTTTTTAAAATTTTATTTTAATTTATCAATATACAATGTAGTTGATTTTCCTGTCTCTTTACCAATCCCTTTCTCCCCTTTCTCTCCCCACTCCCTGCCATCAACATCATATCTGTTCACTTGTCTTAACAAGTTCAAGGAATTGTTGTGATTGCTCTGTCTTCTTCCATCCCACCCTGTTTGTTTGTATATTTATATATTTATTTATTTTTAGCTCCCACAAATAAGTGAGAACATGTGGTATTTCTCTTTCTGTGCCTGGCTTATTTCACTTAATATAATTTTCTCTAAGTTCATCCATGTTGCTGTGAATGATAGTATTTCATTTTTTTTTTATAGCAAAGTAGTATTCCATTGTGTAGATATGCCACATTTTCCTTCTCCACTCATCTAATGATGGACATTTGGGCTGGTTCCAACTCTTGGCTATTGTAAATAGCACTGCAGTAAACATGGGAGTACAGGTATCACTTTGACATGATGATTTCCACTCCTCTGGGTATATACCCAGCAGGGGAATAGCTGGGTCATATGGTAGATCTGTCTGTAATTGTTTGAGGAACCTCCATACCATTTTCGATAAAGGCTGCACCATTTTTCAGTCCCACCAACAGTGTAGGAGGTTTCCTTTTTCTCCACAACCTTGCCAACATTTATCATTCTCTGTCTTTTGGATATTAGCCATCCTAACTGGAGTAAGATGGTATCTCAGAGTGGTTTTGATTTGCATTTCCCGAGTGCTGAGGGATGTAAAGGTCTTTAATTGATTCTTTTGCACAATAACTTATACTTATTTCATGGGTATGATTATCTTCCTTTGAGGATATTAATAATATTTACTTCAAGTCTTCTGTTTGCTTTAATAACTCTTTTCTCTCAGGGGCTCTTATTTATTGAGCTGGTGTTTCTATTTTATGGTGGCTTTTTTTCCTTCCAGATGTTCAATGATTCCTTGATTTTAAGATTGTTTTAAAATCTTGTCTGTCTGTGAATGCTGATCTCATGAGATCTGATTAGTTATTGTTATTAGTTATTAGTTATTGTAGGGGAAGAGATCACATGCTGCTGGGTGGGTTTTGCCAGTTTCTCTTATGTATGTGTGTGTGTGTTTGAGTGCATTTTTGTTCCTAGATACCTTTTATTTCACATTAGAATCTTTCCCTTGGGGATTCTACCCACCCACATCATAGCTTCAAATACCATCTATAAATGAATAACTCCCACATATTATCTTTGGCCCTGAGCTACAGATCTACATATACAATTGTCATCAAAGTACTTATCTTATTTTATAATTACACATTCACAGTGCAATTATTTGAGTAATGCCCATCTTCCTCCACTAGGCTGTGTGTTACATGAGAACAGAGACTGTGCCTATTTTTAGTCATAGCTGATTTATCAGCACTTAATATAGTGCGTGGTATATATGTTCAGTAGGTACTTGTTGAGCAAACGAATGAATTAGGAGAAACAGCTCACATGTGAAAGACCCCATGATGTCTTGGAGTAGTGACTGTGGGAGGACATCTGTTATTCCCAAACAACAGGAACATCAACCTCAGGGTCAAACCTCCAGGGTTCCAGGGCAGTACCTTTGCAGTAAACAGTCCCTCCTTGTAGGAAAAGAAGTTCAGCTTGTAGTCTTTCTTGGAGCCACCCAGTACATCAATGTAATCAAGACCCTTTATAGTGACACTTAGGTCTGGCTTCTCTGGTTTCAGCATTTCCACAATGACCCGGAATCTGGGGCAGCACAGGAGTACGTGGAGAGGAGAGAGAGAAAATGAGATCATTTGCTCAAAGGACAGAAGGAAAGGCGCTGTTTCCTCTCTACTCTTGATTTTAGGGTAAGTGCATGGGCTCAGGGCTCTAGTCTTCACTCTGTCACTAATGATAACAGTAACTATCATTTATTGACCACCTATGTTGTGCCAGATGCTGGGTGAGTGCTCTTTGCGTGCTACTGGCATTTACTCTTTGTAATATTGGTAGGAGGTACATATCACTACCATCTCCATTTCACTAATGAAGAAATAGAGGACAAGAGAAGCAAGATAACAGGCTCAGGCAACATGACTAGTTACTGGCAGAACTGGGATTCAAATTTAGATCTGGGCCTTTATCCACTTTGCTAAGCAGGTAGCTTTCAGTAAGCTATGCCTCTCCTCCCAGCCTTTGGCTTCTTCTCTGATAAAAGAAGGAGGCCAGGCTGGTTGGCTTTGAGCTTCTCCAGTCCTTGCATTCTAAGTACAAGATCCAAAGGACTTCCTTCTCTGGCCAGTGGCTTAGGTGATAACAAAGCACTCAATAAGAACAGTGATGGGCCGGCCCGGTGGCGCACTGCTACAGTGCGCCGCTTGGGAAGCGCGGCGGCGCTCCCGCCGAGGGTTCGGATCCCACATGCAGACCGGCTGCTCACTGGCTGGGCGAGGAGCGGGGGCAACACTGAGGGTTGTGATCCCGTTGCCGGTCCCGGTCCGGTACGGGCGCGACACTGAGGGTTGCGATCTGTTGCCGGTCACGAAAAAAGACAAAAAGACAAAAAAAAAAAAAGAACAGTGATGATTATCATTATGATAGTAATAACAGCTAATGTTTATTGAGCACTCATTTTGTGCCAGGCATTGTTCTAGGAGACTTACAGGTAACAGCACCAAATGGGAGAATTTCTCTGGGAAGCTTAGAGTTCAGGAAATGCCTGGTCTTATTGGGGAACATTGTCTGTGACTCCTTGAGCCCCACAACGTCCCCTAGAGGCCCTGAGCAGGGGAAGGACCTGGTTAGATGGTGGAAGTCCTCCCTCTGTCTCCCCACCCAACTCCTTGCCCCATTCCCTTACCTCTGGGGCTTGTTCAGCCAGTTGGTGATTGGCAGGAGCTCAGTGTAGGGAGTCTTACATGGCACTTCACGGTAGATATTGGCCACAGCTTTGGGGAGCTCGGAAGTCCCATGCAGAGCATACAGCCAGCCGGTCCCATCCGGGAGGGGGAAGAAGAGGGTGCCCTAAGGAGAAGAAATGTGATCAGAATGACATGGAAGGTCCTTTATTAAGTACCTATCAGACATGGCGGGGACACAGGATTAATGAAGGCTCTGCAAGTTAGCATAACACTTTTGGAAAGCAGCATGGTAACATATTTCAAGAATCATAAAAATGTTCATATGTATTTGAACCAGGAACCTAACCCTAGGGAACTTACTGAAGAAAAATTCCTCCAAAGGAAAAAATTACATGCGTATATATTAGAACCACTTACAATATTGATGAAAATTTGGAGACAAACATTCAACAATAGGGGAATGTTAAATAGATATGAAACTCTCGTTCAATGAAATATTAGCAGTCATTAAAAATGGTTATCACAAAGACTACATAGTTAAATAGAAAAATGCTGATGATATCTTGTGAAGTGAAAACAAATGGAATGAAAAATTGGGTATTCTGTGATGACAGTTCTAGCTGCATCTGAATAAGGATTGGTAGTGAAGATAGAAGAAAAAAGTTTAGTTTTTAAAGGGAGGAAGATTGTGGCTGCTTTTCTTTTTTGATTTTCATTATAGTCACCATAATGTTATTTATGTAATTAAGCTAAATATTAATTGCTTAGTTCTTGGTCTAGGATTGTGCTTCAGAACTGAGCCCCTGGCTCCAAGAGAATCTCCTATACATGAAAAAATATGGATAAAAAGGGATGCCAATGCTTGATAACCTGCCTGATTCCCCATTATTCCAATATGATCTGGGCATTTCCCCTGGTTCTAACATTCTCTGAGATGTGAACTGTCTTCCAACCTCCATTGCATAGCTCCTCCCTTTGCCTACGCCAGGAAATCGATGGGGAGGTCTCCGCCTACCTGGTGCTTGCGGTTTTCCACGTTCATGGTGCGGGGCTTGTAGGTGATCTCATAGGGCTTGTTTTGCTGATGGGCCTCCAGGGTGACGAACTCAGGCCCCTCCCAGTGTTCACCCTCAAAGATGGGGTGCAGATTCCAGGTCTGGTTGGTGCGGTTTGACAGCAGAATAGTTTGTGTGTGCTTGGAGCGCACCTGGCAGGTGAAATTCACCACCTGGAAGAAAGCAGGCACCTCATGTCGTGACACATCCCCCAGTCTGTCTCCAGGTACAGAATGTGTGCTGGGGAAAACTGACGTTAACGGTGCTTCTCATCATGAGTTTCAATTGGTAATTTTTTTTCTTTCATTCATTCAATAAATAGTTATTAGGTCCCTTCTACATGCCAGGCACTGTTCTTGGTGGTGGAGATACAGAAGTGAACAAAAGAACAAAGATCTCTGCCTTCAAAGAACTTATACTCTAGTGGGGACAGATAGGCAATAAACAACCAAGTAAGTAGAATATAGAGAATGTAGAATAGGAATAAGTTCTGTGGAGAAAAATAAAGCAGGGTGAGGGTGTAGGGACTGAAAGATTGGGGAGTGGGTTTGAGATTTTAAGTAGGGTGATCAGGGGAGGGCTCACTGAGAATGTGTATTCAAGACTAAGAGGGACTAAGTCAGGGGAGACCTGGGGAAGAACCTCCCAAGCAGAGGAAACATTGACTGCCAAGGTCCTAAATTTTGACAAATAGCAAGGAGGCCACTCTGGCCAATGTGCAGTGAGTGAAGGGGAGATAAAGTAACAGGGAACAGAGCATGTAGGGCCTTGGGAGCCATGGTAGAGACTTTTCTTCTCCTTCTACTGAAATAGGAAGACTTAGGTGAGTTCTGAATAGAGCAGCGACCTGAATTGACCTATGTTTTAACAGAATGGCTCCGGATGCTGACATGCGAGGACAGAGGAAGGACACCAATTAGAAGACACTTGCAATAGCCCAGTGGGAGATGATGGTGGCCTGGGTGGCACTGGTAATAGTGGGGATGGTGGGAAGTGGGTATATTCTAGTAGCACTTAGAAGATCCAGTAAGATTCACTGACATAAGCAATCTTGGTTACAAGTGGAAGAAAATTCAAGAATGACACCCAAGTTTTAGCCTGAGCAACTAGAAGGATGCAGATGCCATTGGCTGAGGTGGGGTTGACTCTGGGAGGGACAGGTTTGCAGGAGAGATCAGGAACTCAGTCTTGTACATCTTAAATTAGAGATGCCCATTAGCCAAACAGGAAGTGGAATTTAAAATCTGGAGTTCAAGGGAAAAGTCCCAGTTGAAGATATAGATTTGGGATGTCAATATGGCAGGTTTTTTTTTTTTTTAAGGAAGGCCAAGAAACTGGATGAGATCAACAAGATGTGAGTGTAGTTAGAAAAGAGAAGGAATTTGCGGACTAATTCCTGACTGGCACACTCCAATGTGAAGAAGAAACAGAAAAAGAGATGAGAGGGAGCAGCCAGAAAGGTAGGAGGAAACCCTGGAGAGGGTGGTATCCCGGAGAGGGTGGTATCCTGGCGCCGAGTGAAGGAGGTGCTTGAAGGAGGAGGAGCCGGTTCCCATCAGAAAAAGAGATGAGAGGGAGCAGCCAGAAAGGTAGGAGGAAACCCTGGAGAGGGTGGTATCCCAGAGAGGGTGGTATCCTGGCGCCGAGTGAAGGAGGTGCTTGAAGGAGGAGGAGCCGGTTCCCAGTGTCAAATGCCATGTACAAGTCAAGTAAGATGAGGGGTGAGAACCAGCCCTTCAATTTAGTAACACGGACAGCGTGGTATTGGCATAAAGAGAGTCAAATAGATAAAGGGACTAGAATGGAGTTCAGCAACAGACCCACATGTATATGATCACCTTGGACAGCGTGGTATTGGCATAGAGTCAAATAGATAAAGGGACTAGAATGGAGTTCAGCAACAGACCCACATGTATATGATCACCTGACTTTTGACAAAGGTGCAAAAGCAGTTCAGTGGAGATAGGATAGTCTATTCAACAAATAGCGCTGAAACACTTGGATATCCGCATACAAAAAAAGCAAACAACAAAAAAGAATTTTGATCCATATCTTGCACTATATACACAAAAATTAACTTCAAACAGATTGAAGACCTAAATGTCAAACTTGTGTTCAGAATACATAAAGAGCTCTCAAAATTTTAATAAGAGAACAAACAACCCAATTAAAAATAGAAGATTTGAATAGACACTTCAACAAAGAAGATTTATCAATGGTGAATAAGTAGTCATTAGTAGTCGTAATTAGTCATTAGGGAAATGCAAATTAAAAACCTCAATGACATACCACTACATACCTATGACAATGGCTAAAATTTAAAAAACTGACCATATCAGGTGTCGACAAGGGTGTGGAAAAAGCAGAAATGTCAGATGTTCTGGTGGGAATGGAGAAGATCACAACCGCTTTGGAAAACAGTTTGGCAGTTTCTTAAAAAGGTAAACATACATCTACTGTATGACCTGGCCATTCCACAACTCGGCATTTACCCAAGAAAAACAAAAGCATATGTTTTTGCTGAGAGTTGTACATATGAGAGTACTTCAAAAAGTTCATGGAAAAATAGAATTAAAAGATAATACGAATCTTCGCATGAAGTTTTTAAAGTACCATCGTACATATTCATAGCATACTGTATGATTCCATGCATATGACATTCTTGAAATAACAAAATTATGGAGAGGGAAATCAGGTGTCATTTTTACCATAAGCAGTATTGTCAGGTAACACAGCTGACCATACAGTTAGGTTTCCAGGAACAGAGCTAGCAGAGGGTTAACCCAAGGGTTAAAAAAAAAGGAGAAAGGTGTTAATCCTTTACTCACAGATCTTATAACAGAATTTGGTCTAGCCAGGGATGTCAGTGCAGGTGATGTGGGTTGTGTCCCCCAGGTTTTATGTATCCCCACTGTTACTGTTAAGAGGGTGGGAAATCCTATTATGGTAATTGCAAGTTGGGGCCTTGAGGAGGTGATTAGATTGTGAGGACCATACCTAGTGAATGAATTAAAAATGGTGGTCATGGAAGTGGTTCTGAGGGCTTCACAAGGGGAGTACATGGGGAGCTCTCTCTCTCTCTGCTCCACAGTTAAGCACTGTGATACACTGCCATTACTG